GAACCTGCCACCCTTGGTATATGGGGCCGGTGCCCTACTCACTGAGCCACAGGTGCCTCCCGCCTGGCTATTTCTTATAGATGGGGTCTCGCTCTGGTTCAGGCTTGTCTTGAATCTGTGAATTCAGGCAATTTACCCCCCTGGCCTCCCAAATTGCTGGGATTACAGGTGTGAGCCACCGTGCTCCTCCTGCCTCTTGTCCCTTTTCTCCTTTGGCAACAGAGTGTTTTCAAACTTTTTGATGGAGAGGAGGGGAGGGGAGGGAAATAATGTTTTATATAGTTTTAATATTTCTTAAGAGTTTGTATATCAATTAATTAAAATACATCACAAGACATGTGTATTTCCTTTCTAGTAAACTGTTACTATTCTTTGTTCCTTTTCTACAGATTAGCCTTTTTCTTATTTGTGACCCTTAACAAGTTTTTTGTCTGTAATGTGAATCAGATATTTCCCCCTTGTTTGTCATTTGCTAATAGTAGTTAATGCTATGCAGAAATTACTTACTTTTTCTTTTTTCTTTTTTTAAATCATAGTTGTGTACATTAATGCAGTCATGGTAAACTACTTACTTTTAAGTTATTTTGGTTGTGGGTCTTTTATGGCTTCTGAGTTTTTTTGTCATATTTTAAAAGGCTTTCTCCATTGCATCATGTTGTTAACTTCCTCTAGTACTCTTATGGTTTTTTTTTGGCAGTTTTTGGCTGGGGCTGAACCCACCACCTCTGGCATATGGGGCCAGCACCCTACTCCTTTGAGGAGAGCCCTACTCCTCTCCTTGAGACAGAGTCTCAGGCTGTTGCCCTGGTTAGAGTGCTGTGGTTTCATAGTTCACAGCAACCTCCAACTTGAGCTCAAGCAATCCTCTTGCCTTAGTTTTTCTATTTTTAGTAGAGACGGGGGTCTCAATTTTGCTCAGGTTAGTCTCGAACTTGTGAACTCAAGCAAGAGTGCTAGGATTAAAGGCGTGAGCCACCTCGCTGGCCTATAATTTGATTTTTTAATATTTAAATCTTTGATCCATCTGAAACATTTTTTTTTGTTTTTATTTTTTGAGACAGAGTCTCACTTTGTCACCCTCGGTAAAGCGCTGTAGGTGTCACAGTTCATAGCAACTTCAACTTCTTGGACTCAAGCAATTCTCTTGCCTCATCCTCTTGAGTAGGTGGGACTCTAGGCGACTGCCTCAATGCCTGGCTATGTTTAGAGATGGGGTCTTGCTCTGACTCAGGCTGGTTTCAAACTTGTGAATTCAAGCAATTCACCTGCCTCAGCCTTGGAACATTTATTTATTCATACATTCATTCATTTACTTTTAGATATGGGAAGGGAGTCTCACTATGTTGCCCAAGCTAGCCTTGAACTCTTCTGCTCAAGTGAGCCTCTCACCTCAGCTTCCCTAGTAGCTGGGACTGAACCTGGCTTTTTTTTTTTTTTTTTTTTTTGAGACAGAGTCTCACTATGTTGCTGTCAGAAGAATGCCATGGCGTCATAGCTCACAGTAACCTCAAACTCCTGGGTCAAGTGATCCTCTTGTCTCAGCCTCCCAAGTAGTTGGGACTACAGGCACCTGCCACAAGCTCAGCTATGTTTTAGAGACAGGGTATCACTCTTGCTTAGGCTGGTCTCAAACTCTTGAGCTCAAGCAATCTGCCTGCCTTGGCCTCCCAGAGTGCTGGGATTATAGTCATTAGCCACCATGGCTGGCTGATTTTTACATCTTCAATGGTATAAAAAAAATGAAAATAATAATGTTTCATGATATGAAATGAAAGTAAATTTAAATATTATTTCCCATGAAAAAAGTTTTATTGGAACACAGCCAGATTTTTTCATTTACACGTTATCTATGTTTACTTTCTTTTTTTTTTTTTTTTTTTGAGACAGAGCCTCAAGCTGTCCCCCTGGGTAGAGTGCCGTGGCATTACAGCTCACAGCAACCTCCAACTCCTGGGCTCAAGCGAGTCTCCTGCCTCCGCCTCCCAAGTAGCTGGGACCACAGGCGCCCACCACAACGCCCGGCTATTTTTTGGTTGCAGCCGTCATTGTTGTTTGGCAGTCCGGGCTGGGGACTCGAACCTGCCACCTTAGGTGTACGTGGCTGGCACCTTAGCCGGTTGAGCTATAGGCGCCGAGCCTCTATGTTTACTTTCATGCCACCAAGCAGAAGTGCGTATGCAACACAACTGCATGACTTGTAATGCCTAGAACATTCACTATCTCGCCCTTTACAGAAAAAGTTTGCCAATCTGTTTTAGATCTTTTTTTCTCCTCTAATTTAAGTATCTAAAGGTATAAATTTCCCTCATTACCTATTTTAGCTATATTCCACAAATTGTGATATGTTTTCATTATCATTCAGGTCAAAATATTTGCTAGTTTCCCTGGCAATTTGTTATGAGCCTGAGATTATATAAAATACACTGTCAAATTTTCAGATACGTGAGGATTTTCAGAAAGGTTTTTGTTACTGATTTCTAATATAATTCTACCATAGTCAGAGAACATACT